CACCACCACCACCACCACCACCACCACCACCACCACCACCACCACCACCACCACCACCACCAACACCACCACCACCATCACCACCACCACCATCACCATCACCACGACTGCCACCATCATCTTAAAATAGGCTGTTTATTTGGTTGCATATCTAACTCACTTAAAGCAGCCTGATTTGGCAACAGTTACTGACAGTTCATCACAAATTCAGTCAATTATCTATAGCCTCCCCCCTCCCCAAGCAATTTGCATATAAACACAACAAATCTACCCTGGACGCCTTATCCTTTCTAATCCGTTTTATCAGTAAGCCATTGAACAATTCGGCTTAGTCTGTCCGTTGTGTTTTTCATGATTATTCGTCGCAATCGATTCTGTTTCTAGATAATCTCTTCTTTTCAAAACTTGACACTCGAAGACAGCTGCTCTCATGGCTTTCTGTTTAGTTCAAAGAGAGGGTCCAGTGCACCAAATTGGGTAAGAAGACATCGAAACCTTTTGTTAATAATTCTGGTGTTCTTCAAGGAACCGTTTTATCTCCATATCTTTTTTCTGCCTTTATTAGTGATCTTTTGGTTCCACCTCCTTTATGCTGATAACATTGCTCTATGTCAGACAGTTTAATCTCCTTTGGAATTTCATTCTTTTACTGAAAATCTTTCTCACATTCAACAGTTTTCTGATCAATCTGGTCTCAGTCTTAACATATGTAACGGACTCTGCTACCCTTAACTGTAATCCTGTGTCCAGAATGACTTCAGTCAAGTACCTGGGTGTTGGCTTCAACCGTAAAATCTCCGGTGGTCCTTACACATTTACAGTTGCATGTATGAACTGAGAAGCCGCTCTTTTTAGTTACGTAATTTCAAGCAATTCCGAACCCCACAGTCAGTCCGGTCCTCTTCCATTCACCAATGCATTTTCCCCATTCTATTCTATTGATCTTCTTTAGTGTTTCCCGGCTTTGAAAACCAGACTTCAAAAACATGCGTTATGAGGTGTTCATCATCAGTAGTTGTACATCATTAATCCCAATCGATTCACTAATTACAGAACTCATTAATGGTCACATCAATTCTTGTTTTAAATTTGCTCACAACATTCTAGATGATCCTCTTCATTCAATGCATCCCATCCGTCCACGAACTCCTCTTTTCGGTATCCACTACCCTCTCGTATTCACATTTACAACACTGGGTCCGTACTCTACCTGGCCCGACTTCTAACCATTTTTTTCACATGAAACAGACTTCAGCGACATTCGTGAGTTTGCGTGTTATTTGAAACTGCGTGTTTCATTCCGCGTGACAAACGATGTACATTTTTAACTGAAAAGTACTCATTTAAGTTTGCCAAAGTTATCCAAGTTATACATGTTCGGATA